AGATGTGAGGATCGACACTACACTTCAATCAAAACGAAGCCCACTGTTCAAACATTTATATACAATTCTAATAGAACAATATAGCATTTAACAAATCAACTGGCCTAACAAACTAAAACAAAATTCAATGCTAGCAACCTAAAAATTAGGTTGCTAGCATTGAATTTTGTTTTAGTTTGTTAGGCCAGTTGATTGTTAAATGCTATATTGTTCTATTAGAATTGTATAAATGTTTGAACTATGTCGCTGTTTTGATTGAACTGTAGTGTCGATCCTCACGTCTACTTGACCACGAATTGTGTAGCTTTCTTCCTTTTAAAATTTTTTGAAATCATGTTTCAGTGCATGTCAGAAGGCCTCATTCTACAAAAACACGTGAAGTTTCTCATACGTCACTTAAACGTGTTTCCTGAACAGTACTGCTCTTTGGATACCAACAGGTTGGACCGTTCATACTCTAAGTGTTGAAAAAAGTCTTAGTAATCTATTCTTTTCAATTCAGATGTATGATTTTGCTTGTAATCTTTTTTTTCACAACCCTTGTATTCGTACCTACCTCATACCTCAGCCTATTTATTCAGCATCCCGTGTCGTGCTCAGAGAAAATGTAATGGATAAGATTGTTTGCATAGCTCGTGGCCAGTGAAATCTAGAAGGAATTGTTGAAGAGTTAGGGCCGAATCATAATATTCCGATCGCATGGTCGATATGCATCTGCTCCACACTCGAAGTGCAAACTGAACTGCAAATGTTTGACACCACTTTAGAGGTCACGGGTTCACATTTTTTCGACTCTTGCTGTCCATTCCCCTCCTCCTTTCTCTACCTCGTACTACCGCGTTCTCTTAATTCTATGATTCTCCAAGAGCAACTTATTTACCGATCATTACGCAACAAGAAGCGGCTTGTTTTCAACTCAGTTGCTTTGCAGTACCTAAGAGGGGTAGTGAAGGTCTTCTTTATAGGGTTACCCTACTCTTCTTTGCTGTATCGGCTCTTGATCTTCTTGGTGAGCTAGACAAACTTCTAACTGACGATCGTAGAAAGTCGATTATTGACTGGATCTACAAGCTGCAAGTTACTGGATCAGGTTCGTTCACTCGCCTTTTTCTTGGTTCCACGTCGCGACTTCTCTACATATTTTCGTTGTTTTTTTTATTGCACATTTTCTTGTGAAGTTATGAGTCGTGAATAGTGGCATATTGTTCAACATCATTGCTTAACTTAATTTTTTTTGTTTTTTGCTAAAATAGCTTGTCATTTGTTGTCAATCTCCTTTCTGAATTTTTCTCTTACCCTTCTTGTCTTTCCGTTTCTGCGCTATAAATGAGCGCCCTGTATTGTGAACCGAAACTGCGGGACTTCGGTTTGGCGGACGGGGGATGGCGCGGCTTCGGTGGAATATTGACAGATCTGAGATCGGGAGAGGACATTTCGCAGTACAACCTTGCTGCACATTGGAAAAGACCTGTCGCACCAGTTATCACTGGTTACATTGAGCCGATTCTGCCTCGAAAATCTCTAGAGGTAATAGTTTGAGTTCCATTCCACGTAGTCAATCTATAATGAACGTGTGTAGGTTGTTCCACGACGACCTCCTGGAAGTTTTCGATGTGACATGGATAGTAATCTGTTGAGATACGTCAACCTGCTGGCTGCTTCTCAACGAAATGATCGAGAGCTCACGTTGTGGAGAGTGACGGAAGGCTGCCATCAGCAGATCATAGAGGAGTTCAAAGTGAAGGTTCGTGATGTCGCAGGTTTTTTCGTATAATGATTTTATGTACTTTTTTGTATTGAACTCCTTCTGGTCAAGGTGCACTCGATGTTCAGGTACAGAATGGGGTCTTGTCGTCCAAAGACAAAGTGAGACACAAGATAGACATGGGTGATCCCATACAAGAATTACGAGTGAGCCAAATGAATACGCAAGAAATCTGGGCTCGTTGCAAACGTCATCTGAGCGTGGTTAATCTGCGCAGCGGTGATCAAATGCGAGTTTTCAGGGTAGGTACCAAATTTTTATTAGGTACATTCTGATGTTTTTTTTCTTGTGCTAGTACTATACAAACAGTCCAAATAATGATTGATGAGTAGAATTCATTAGTCCTTGAATAGCCTCAGTGTTATTCTAGTCGCTTTAGAGCGCAGTGCGATGTTTTGAAGAGAATGTCCTCCTACCTGGAGATATCACACTATGCGATATGGGAGGGATGGTATGGAGTGGTCTGATAGAGTCTTCGCTATCAAGAACAAAGAGTGCTCGTAATGATACTAAGGTGAATTTTTCCTTTCCAAACCTAGTGACCTCATTATCGATATTTATTGTTCAGTTAGTTTCTCACAGTGATCATCCTCGCGTGGTCTTTGCGTCTTCCAGCCACGAGGTTCGCACGTTAGACCTTCGTTTGGATAACGCTAGCAGCTCTGTCGTTCTTTTTGAAGTACCTGAACTTGACAAAAAGGTATGCACGGTGGATTTTGATTTTTGTTCTTTTTTCTTCTTGCAGTTTAATTACGCATTCATCCTTTCGGAAATTCATTCCCTGACGAGGGAATGTTAGTCATAAAATTGAGTTTCATATCAAAACGCTAGTAAGATAGTAGGTGTGGCTACTCAACGCATGGCTTAAGAGCACGATTCACTGCACTACGGTTAGAGGCTGGATTTGATATCATGTTAGGGCTTTTGGACTGCGTCGCATAGGGAAGGGTAAAAAGTAGGAAAATTCGGCGGATCCGTGCAACTTGTTGTGTTACTTTCCCGCAGGCGTCATATATGATGTAGTTGCGACCTACAAAGTTCTATTAATGAAACTCAGTCCGGCAAAGAAAGTTCGAAAAGTTGAAATCAAAAATATTTCCTAACGACGGTACCCAGAACAAGTGCGAGCGTTCCGCCGTCAACATTTTTGACTTTTGTGTAGCAGGAATTTGAGCGTGTAATACTTCTTCAGTTTTCCTACCATTCACCGGAGCTATCAAACTTTTCCATTCTTTTTGTGGTGTCGTCTGAAAGATAATCCAGGTCACCGTTTTCATGGGGAATAGAATTTGTGCACAATTCCTCTAAGTAAAACCTTAGCTCATACAGCACAAGGTCAACAGTTGCGCAGTCTTTTCGTTGTTGTCTAGTGAGCAAATTGCTTTTTGGCTGAGCTAATCGCTATAATAATTTTGGAGGATGTTTTTCTTTTTTGAAACTGTACCTTCAGTTCAATTGAAGGTAATGTTTTAGGGACCAATGGATCAAGTGGCATACATTCCGGAGGAGTCTCTGAAACGACCGGTCATATACCATTTACAAGCGGTTCCAGAGCGTCCGCATAATTTCTTAGTGGTCACATCGCACTCTGCTTACCTCTGCGATGACCGTTTCCCGAAGGCGGCTGTTCTCACTCTTCCACATACCATTCCTTATGGTTCCCACTTCATGTTGACGACACCACCGGTGGCAGACCCTCTTGGAACTGGTCATATAGTTTCTGCTTACTTCCTCGATCATTTGATGACGGATATATCCGTTCTACGTTTATACAGTCATGATAGTGAGGTATGGTCGTCCGTAATGCCAATACATCTCTTAGGCAGTTGCTCTGATTACGAAAAGGCTATGATGCCGTCACCTGCGCTTCACCGTGTACATCTCGCCCGTGAACCAGTCATGGGAATGGCTGTAGTGCAAGGATATCAAGACGAACGTGGAAGGCCAAGCGAGTTCCTCTTAAGAACGTCAGCTAATGGAAGTGTATGGTTCCAAACTATGCGATATGGTAAAGTGGAGAGTATGGAAGAAAAAGCTCTGTGGGCAGCCAGTCACAGTCGGCTGGAGAGGTCTATTCCACTAATGACCAAAGAGGATGATTACGTTCGGCAGCTTCCTGATTCACTACGCCAACCAACATCGTCTTTGAGTACGATCATTGACATTGAAATGGATGATGAGGAAGTACCGGAGCCGAGAAAAAAGGCAATCGATCCATTGCAGAAAAAATTATGCAAAGATTGCAAACCACTGGATTTACTAGAGCCTTCACACCCGGACGCAGTAATTCCTTCCATTATAAATAGCGTCTGGAAAGATTCTTTGGAGAAATGCTATGTTCTCAGAGAATAGAAAGTCTTTTCTAGTTCTTTTTCTTAGTTCATTTCTCATGCTATTGTGCCTTTTCAATTCGCTGTTGTTGAGTTGTTTGAAATGTTTTTGATCTGTTTTTGATCTCGTTTTAATCACCTGTAATTGTACTTGATGAACAAAGCATTCAATTAGCGATGTTGTCAACCTTTTTGGCATTGATGTTCCGCAATTTTCTCTCATTTACAAATTCGCAAATACAGAATTACTTCTTAGGGAAATTTTGTGGTTTTCGAGGATGTATGAGTTTCGCATCAGACGACGGCGAAGGTGTTTACAGTTCTGCGAACTTGGCTCAGACGTACAGGTAGGCTTTTTTTAAATGGCAGGAAATGACATTCTACCAGATTGTTCCAGTTTCAGAGAGCACATGATTGGCCTTTCCTTAATTTCAAATTCATCTTTTAGTGCGCTTTTATGTCTGGCTATACTTGGCGATGACCTGAAACGTGTGGATAAAGAGGCGCTATTGAAGACACTGCAGAAATCACAAAAAGAAGATGGGAGGTACGCTCAATGTTGTTTTCCCCACAGACCACTCCATTAGGTTACTTTTTTGTTTACAGTTTTTGGAGTGAAGGGCGTGATTCTGAAAGTGACATGCGATTCGTTTTTTGTGCTGTTGCTATCTGTCATATTCTCCGGGATTTTTCATACATTGACTTTTCTTCAATGAGAAATTTTATACGAAATAGTCTTAACTATGACGGCGGAATTGGACAAGGTCCAGGAGACGAAAGTCATGGTAATTTATTTCTTTTTCATTTGTTTATTCCTTTTCTTTCTTCTTCATTTATCTGCACTGCGCTGACGAATCGAATTTTAAATTCATCACGTCAACGCAGATTTCTGCATCATTCTGGTCACTTATTTTCAATCATTTTCACACGTTTGACTGTCGCTTGCGGTCTTTTATTACCGTCCGAGCGATTTTTGTTGTCTCTTCTTATCACTGTTTTGACTCGCGTGCTCATCAACTGCGGCACTACCGTTCATTTCTTTCTTTGTGCTTTGCTCTCATGCACTCACTTGCCTAGTCGTAGTGCCGTAGTCATTCGTGGGGCCTTCCGCTTCTATTCTACGTAGTGTTGTTTATTATTACACGAAAATGGCGCCCTGTGATAAGCAACAGAGCTATCGGCTTTGTTCTGTCTTGTTGTGGTGCTTGCTACCCATTCAAGTTCCACTCTTCGTCAGAATCATGTGTAGTGACATCTTATTGTGTGTTTGGGCTATTCATTGAGTGGAGAAGGTTAATCGATTTACAACAACTTTGTGTCCTCATATTCTCACACGCCCAGATTCTAACTGCAAATAGTCACCCGTGTCGACAGACGGTTCGGTGAGCTTGCGCGGGATTTGAACAATATTTGGTTTCCAGAATGTGTGTGGTGTGGTAAGGTTACCATTATACCATCTTAACCTGAGTAATTGCCTTGGATGCTGTCATGCTCGCCTGTAATCGCTTGCGCAAAGCTTAACGCCTACGATTTTTCAAAATCTTGGTGGTGGTGTTTGTTGGCCGCTCACACTCAGATGCCACCTCCCTTTCTTTACCCGTAGTCTCTCCAAGCTTTTTTTTGTTCGTTCAGATTCAAGACTGTGATTTTCTAAGATTTTTTTCGCAACAACTATGTTGATGATTTAACAGGTGGTTCGACGTTCTGTGCGATTGCCTCACTATCGCTGGCAAATTGTCTCTGGGATGGTTCTGTATTATCGAGACGAGAAATTGATAAGCTTGTAAAATGGGCGTTATGGAAGCAGGATGAAGGATTCCATGGCAGAGCTCATAAGCCGGACGACAGTTGCTATGCATTTTGGATAGGAGCTACTCTAGAGGTGATTCTTCTGATCACTAGATGCTGTACTAATTTATCTCTTTGGAGACGGGGTGCTGTAGTTCCATCAGGCATTCAGTCTCTATAAAGAATCGAAAATACTCTTCTCCATTTTGATTAGGTTTCTGCACAAAAACCTTCCCTTAACCTTAGTGCTTTTCCGATCGGTTCGCGATCAAACTAGAGCGCCCCTACCGAAATTCGGAATGGCTGACATAAGGCTTGTCTCCTCATTACACTGAATTTTAGAATTCCACAGCATATCTAGTTCGAAAATAGTTTAGAACTAACTGGAGTAGTTTGGAAGTGCTCTTCCGGAACGTCTGCTTTACAGAATTGACACTATACGTCTTGAACTTGTGGTTATCAATAAATTAACTCCCACATTCGTTTTTTCCATTTCCTCCAGATTCTGAATGCGAATCACTTGATGGACAAGGAGAAGTTGCGGTCATTTTTGTTAATTGCACAACATCAGTACATGGGCGGGTTTTGCAAGATTCCAGAAGCCTCAGGATTCCCTGGTGGGTGGTTTTTGCGCTGACTTTCTTCGCTTTCCTTTTGATTAAAACTAGCTGACATAAGTTCCCTCCTTCTGATTCAGGTGCGTTCCTGCCTTTATTTATATGCTTATATCCTTATTTGTTTACTTACTTTTGGTGGCTCATAAATCTCGTATTTCAGATCTACTACATACTTACTTCTCAATAGCGGCATTTTCCCTTTTACGAGAGCCGGGTTTAGCACCAATTAACGCATCACTTAATGTTTCAAAACACGTATATGAACAAATTGTCAAAGCTAATAATGTCTAATCAATTGTTTTTGGATACCACTGTAACCATTTCTGAAATCCGATCTGAAATTGCGTTTGCCATTTTTCACAGTTTATATACTTTGCAGTTATGGCTCAACATGTGTGTGTTGTTGTTTTTATGCAATGATTATAAACGAGATGAAGATTGAATTTCTTTGGAATTTTTTCGATAACTTTGTTGTGTAACAACGTCATATTGGTTCTTTTCATTCTTCTCATTCTTTTGAATCGGCTGTAATCTTGTATTCTTCACTGAATTCATAGTTCTGTTTGAGTAGAAGTGGATGATTCTCCTTCCTCCGGCAGATCTCGACCAAGATGAGGCTATTTTTCGTATCCTCGCACATCTGCGGACATTTCAACAGGTTTTTTGAAGTGCTTTCTGTCTTTCGGGCGTACTCACTCACTTACTGGAGTTTCAGACAGCTGACTCGCTTTTTGAACGAATCTCTTCACGAACAGAGGAGCTGAATAACACCTACAAAGGTCTAGACACGCGACTGAAGCGAGTGCAGCGGAAGGTCTCATTCCTACGTCAAGTGGGTGTACTTCTTCAGTTGCGGATTACTGCATTGTGATGCATAGAGAGGAGAACGTATTACAGGTCTCTTCACAATTTTGCGTAGAATCTTTATAGCTTTAAGGCCAGAGTTATGGGAAAAGGGTCATGGGCGTTTATTATATTTTTACATAAAAACATATATCTGAACAGTAAGGATTCGGCATGCAGTATTTCAGGATTGTTGATATTGAAAAAAACACGGAGTTCCTATTCGCTTTCAAAATGTTACCTCTGCAGTGTTGATTGAGTAAAATGTGTGATTGTTTCGACTCATCATTTCAGCTGATGTCGGGTGTTTTGATCATGTCTCCAGTTCGCCGCTTCGGTAGGGAGGCCTGCCACAGATTGACCCATAGGAAAAGCAGCTAAAGTAAGTGGGTTTCAGGGGTTCAAGTAATTGATTTGCCGGTTATTTTAACGGACAGCGTACTGACAGGGAAGCTATTGACTATCTTTTAACATGGTTTTCCTGGAGTACGTCGTCCTTTAGTGTACGGAGGTGGTGGGTCGCTAGTGGCGCACTTAACCACGCGCACGATCCGGTGTCAAATCCTCGCTGTCCACTAATTATGACTTCCATTGCTCCGGAGTTGATTGAAAGCTAGTAAACTCATATGAGAGTGTGAAACACTGATTTTTATATGTGTACGAGCTGGCGTCCGTAGATCGCATCCAGGTGCTAGTTTATAAGTAAACTTTGATTTTTCCCAATGTGCTGGTCAATGCCCGCTCTTTCTCTTCTTACTTTTGGAAACTTTTGTGTGAGAGGGTGTCATTGTTCATAGATTTTGGACAGAATTCAAATATCCATTTGATCTACTCCGGTATCCAAACTTCCTGCTTTTTTGTGTGAATTCAAGCGAGCAACTACACCTGTCATATTGAAGCCATATAGAAATTTTGGCAATATTACCCTGGCTAGTGTCTAAGAGAACACCATTTCAGTTGTTTTCGAGCCGAAAAACAGACTAGAACGTGTCGTCGACATGCGTCGAGAACTCGACGAACGGAAAAGATTCTACCTTCCAAGCCATTTGATGAGCAAAAGCTCCCAAGAATCGAGAAAGGGTAAAATTTTATGCCTGTAAAGGGTCACTTGCGATAGTGTTATTGGAAAATTTCAGAGAGACAGCCACCATCGAAGATAATTTCATTTGCCGATATGTTCTATTGTGGTACTGACGAACTGGCATACGGAAAAAGATCATCAAAACGTATAGGATTCGTCAGTCATGGGAAGAGTGATGCAGCGTCGAGGTGACTCTTTCGAAGTGTTAGTGTAAAACATTTTCCTTGTTTTATGCTCGTTTCGATTAGTTCTTTAGTGCCTCCTCCAGTGGGTAGGCTAGAGCTGTTAACGAAGGCTATAGATCTGCACATTTCACAGTTCTTCAAGGCTAAAAAATGTGCGGCTAGGACGTAAGGGCGTTGCTCTTGATCTAGATTACTGGCCTTAGTATTGCTCGCTACAATGATTGCGTTCCTGCCCACTCTCGTATTGCGTGCTTTCTCGCATATTCTTTCCTTGACACGCTGTTTTTTCCTCGCGCCGCGGAAGACTTAACAAAAAGAAAATCCGTCAATCTTTATTTTTTCGATATGTCCCCTTTTCTAACCCTCTGGTCCTCTTCGCGCCTTTGTTTTCGTTTTCGAACAAAGTGTTTATAAGTCCCAGTCGCGAAGTGGCTTTTAAGTAAATTCATGAGATAAACTCTTAGATTTCCTGGGTTTTCTGTAAATTTACTTCTGTGTTTTCTTTAACTCGGTTTACTTTGGATCTATTTACGTTACCCGAAAAACGGGTAAAACGGGTATTTTATATACCCGAAAAAGTGTAGAGGACTTCTTATGCCTTTGTGCGCGGAGTTATTGAACACTTTGAATTCCACTTTGATAGGCAGCCGTGTTTGAAGTTTTCCAGCCCATCACTGTCTTTAGAGTTTATCGTGTTTTCCTGATCAGCTGTTCAGTTTTAGCAGAAGTTTTTCAGTGTGGATATCAATGTGGTCGAAACATCAGCAATTGGTGGAGGCCGTGCTCAAGAGAGAGATCCGTTGGATTACGTGCCCGAGTTAGGTCCCATCGAGGACTTAGACCTTCCTGACATTCTGCCAGATTTGCCAGGTACGTTTGCCGTGGTTTCCTATTATAGACTATGTTAGCTACAGGACGGTGCCAGCTTATTTTTTTTTCTGGCACTCAAAAAAATCGAATATTCGGCGTTGTTGAGTCATGATGTCCATATGTTGAGAATCCAATTTTAAGGTATTGCTGAAGACTTGACACTTTTGGACTATGATATTCCTCCGCCAGTGTTTCCCGACATGCCAGGTATACCTGAAGAGCTGCATGCGAAACCCGGAGAGTGGTCGAGGCAACGGAATCTAATGCAGACAGCATTGAGAAAGGCGAGTTTCCTTCGTAGTCGTTTTAAGTGATGGTTGTCGCAAATCGTAATGTCTCGCTTCCA